TCAATATTTACATCTGCAATGACTGAAACAATACTCCATTTAAGCTTTCTTCAAATAAATACATTGGCAATGCCGACAAATCACTATGTATTTGTGGAAATAGAGGTTCAGACTATGCTACTCTTAAAAAATGAGTTTGTTCCTGCAGCCTGGGCACAGCTAAATGCCAGCGGCCTGGGCTTGGCCAAGGAGAGCTGCACAGACCACAGCCAAGCAGGTAATGACTACAACGGTTTCTGGAAGTTTAATGCATTTGGTAGTACTTAGGCTTTTTGCACACTCCTTCTGGAAAAAAACTTTTTTCATTGCTAGGATTACTGAAATAAGACTAGTGGGAGCAAGACTGTGTCACTAAGGGGTAGGAATAAACATGGGTTTAGCCAAAAGTTATCCAAGGAGAGGAAAGGGAGATCAGAAAGCCTCATCATAGTTAGCTGCTGAACAGCATCCAAAATCTTCAATTCGTATCAGTATTAATTATTTACTTAATTAGTTGACTACATATTTCTTCTAAAATGAATATCAAAACTATCACATTATTTATGATCAAACTTTATGTTGTGTGTATTTTTCTCTCATCAGCTTTTAAAGTCAATGGTATCTTCTCTTAATCTCACTCTTGATTTCTATGTACATAACTAAGGTTAATAATTGTACAGTCTTAAATTCAACATGAAGAGCATTTTTAAACTTGAACTATGATGAAATTAAATTCTACAGAAGTTACAATTGAAATCTTCATCTCCTAAGTTTTTCCTTACCATGCATTAGCTAATATAAAGCATTTTCAGTGTTGAAGTGATCTGAAAATTAATCTCTCATTTTACAATTTAATCTGTCACTTTATGCATTTTATTTAATAAAACTTATTCTCCTGCAATGTAAATATGTTCTTGAATATATGGCTAGGATTATTCAGGCTGTTTTAGAGCTCATGAAATGCTAGGGTTAGAGACAGAGAGAACCCTGTGCTCTGGGTTCTGTCAGCACTACCCTGTGTTTGACAGCTGTATGTGGGAGAAGAGAGAAATGGGAGAAATGTAAAAGATGGGCTACCACCAACCAGAAAAGGGGGAGGGGGGAAGAAGGGAGGAAGAGAAGAGAGAGAGAAGGTCCCCTGTGAAAAGAGGGGAGTAGGGAATAAAAGAAAGGTAGAAAACAAAAGGCCTGCTTTTTTGGTTAGTTGTATTTGAGGAAAAAACAGAGATCATACATTAAAAAGCATCTGATAAGAGTGTAAAATTTCATTTCTTCAAATGCCTCATCTCCTTCTCAGAAAGTAAAGACCTGAATTTTTAAGATTGTGTTTCTTGAAATAAGAAATAAGTTAAAATGTCTACTTAGTAGTATACTGAATATAGTAGTAAGGATAACTGCTATTTATTAAGCAACTGACATCTAATCTTTGATAATAAAGAACATTTCTAACATATATTGTAAAAGATAAGTCAGAAGCAGTGCTTCAATGGAATTATATACCAGATTTTTTCCTCTACTTTCTATTGTGATTATTGGATTAGATCCTTTCCTGAAAGGAAATGGGGGATGATAATGAAGTGCCCATACTCAGTTAAGTGAGTAGTGAAGAGCAGAGAGCTAGAGGTGCATCTTGCTAGGAGCCAAGCACAGCACTGATGCACCAGGCTTTCACCACAGATATTCACTGCACAAGCAGAGCTGGATGCAGGAGCACTGCTCAGCTCCCGAGTGTGCTGGAGTAGCCAGCAGCTGGAATTCATCTACAGCACAGGCTGCTGGGCATTACTGTTTGTTTTTGCTCGAGCTGCAAACTCCATTTTGTATTGTGTTTCACAAGTGCCTGATAGTACACCGCCTGAACAGAGAGACATCAATCATAGTGTCAGAGCAGTTTTGTAAACAAGGACCAAAACCTTTACTTAAAGGTAAGGAAAAGAAAAATAACTGGCTGAGGAGTGGGAAAGGAAATGGCAGCCTGCACAGAGATGATATTCTGTATATGACCTAAGTCTGTCCTCAGTGCAATTTCAGCTTATTGCTGGGTTTGTATACATTCCTTCAAAAAATTCTTACCTCACTGGATAACCTTGTACTTTTGCAGTATTACAGCTGGACTATGGCTCTTTCTGAACAGTTCATGCTTGCAGCATTACAATAACCAAGTACTTGTAAAACTCATGTTCAGAATATGCCAAAGATCTGTAAGAAACTGTTTGACAAAATGTTTGACTTAAACTACAGTTTTAATGAAATGTGAAAGGCTCAAAGGTTTAAAATAAACTTCTCTCAAAGACTCAAGAAGTGTAGGATAGGGCTTTTAGGAAGTGTAGGATAGAGCTTGTGAAAATCCAGCCAAAACTTTAGTTTGGGATGCTCACAGCCAATACAGGTAATTTAGTTATTGTGCTTGTCCTACCTTTTTCTTTTTTTTTCATCCCCCCCATCTTTAATACAGAAAAATAAAGTTAAATGAAGGAAAGAAATAACAGAAAGAAAAATGCCTTGGCATATTTTTCTGAAACTCAGTACAGAACAAGAGAAAGGTTTTCTGAGCATCTTAATGCTAAACATGAGAGATAGCAACGGAATTGTCTCCTAAGCTGTTACCTGAGAGGTAGATAATAAAAAAAGTTAATTATAGACTATATAGTAATGTCTGGTAGTCATCATAGACTGCTGGTTTTAGCAAGAAATTATTCTTATGTTTTTTCTTTTTTCAGTTTGCATCTAAATTCAATGGAAATGTATTATTGTACATCATTGATTAACACTGTCTTCATTAACCTTTAACAACAACGTGAAAATTATAGGCGTATACACCTCTTTAATTAAGCATTTTGTTTTCTGTTAAGTGCAATTCCTTCACATCTTACCAAATGACAATGTGAGGTTGGACAAACTGTCAGCATGTTTCTTAACATTCTTATTGTAATAAAATGCAGCCATTATAAATGTCTGTATAATATTTGTGAGTTCAACTGAAATGTTGCCACACAACTCATGTAACTGAGGAAAAAAAATTTAATTACTTTCTTTTCTACTCATTGTATCCCAGTTTTTCAGGTAGGGTGAGGGTATAAGCTTCGTGTGCTTTCTCAAAAACTACAGGGAAAGGAGCTAAGTAAACTCTATGCATCTTTTACTTAGACAGTTCCAATTTTATGGGGTTATGTGGAAAAAATGCATACAAAAAGCAAATGTTAAATGGCAAAGTATGTAAAAGATCAGATGGCAGCACAAGTTTGGGTTGTTCTGTCCCATGAACATATTTTTTTGTTAATTCTAAGGGAAGAAAACTCCATATATCTATGCCTTTCTTCTCAATAACCATTCTGAGGGAGAATCAACTTGGTGTGTTATGTAGACATGCAGCAGAAGTCTTTACAGACCCTGTCACATTGAATACTTCCATCCTCTCAGCAAACACTGTCAGTTATCTACAAATACCTCACTAGCTGCCTCCTTTGAACTGTTTATAATTTGTGCAATTCCTACAGTTTACAGCTCTTTCTACTGATCACCCACCAAAATAGTATTTTATCACAAGTAGTTGCTGCCAGACATTACTGTCTCATTGTTTTGCTTTCGACTCTTTCTTCCAAGACCCAACAGATCCTCATGGAATACTGACTTTTAATACTACCAAAATACATATTTAAAAAAAATTCTTAGAATGTATTTAATTTTCTGGGGTAGATTTGTGAGAACTTTAGCTTTTTTTCCCCAACACAGAACCCAAAGCTGGATACAGTGTCTCAGCAGTGTTGATGCTGATGGTGCATTTGGAATACTGCCTTTTCCAGTTGAACTTATTCTGTTTATACATTCTAATGAAGACAGGGCCATTCTCTACAAAAATCCATACAATTATATAAAATTCCAAATGTGTATATATATATATATAGATAGATAGATACACAGTAGTCTTTGCTAATTGAGCTTGTTTTCACAGACATGTAACAGGTATCAGAGCAGCTGATAGCAATTTGAGCAGTGACCTCCAGTAGTGACTGTTGGATTTGAGAAGAGGATGTGTTCCTATCCATGTTCCTCCTGTTGAACAACTTTGACATGGCTTCCATGACTCATATACTAAATTCTTCCTTCTCATGTTCACTGCCCAGCATTTTTCTGTTTAGACAAGGATATATCACATTTTGTTGTGTTTTTTTTTCCTCCCTGTAGATTCACTAGAGCCCTTCTTCTGAGTATGGTCCTTGGTCAATGTTGTTCAAACCTTGAGAACAACTTTATAAACATGGAAAGGAATTGTCTGAGGCCCATTTTTTTGTGACATCGTTACAGACACTGCTTTTTGGATGACACCTGCGAACCCCCACCTACCTTTCCTTCACTGATGATCAGGGAAAGAGACATGCCGCAGTACGGCAGCACTTCAGCTCGCACCCTATGTGTAGAATGTTCTGGAACCACCTTGTGATATTTCCAGTCTAGCTGAAGTCAGTGTGGCAATCACCCAAAGTGCCCGGGGCACCAAGGTGTGCCCAGAGGTGCTTGTGCCGCTGTGTGGGAGCAGCACGGCCCCGTTGGAGCGCTGCAGCCCCGCGCTTCCCCCGCTCCCCTCACGTCCAGCGGCGCGCCCGCCCTGCCCCGTCCCGGCGCTGCCTCAGCCCTTCCCGCCGGGCGGGCGGCTCGCCAGCCGCCTCCACACGGCGAGGGAAAACCAACCCCACTGACAGGCGGCCTCCAGCCGACAGCACCCGGGCCCGGGGCTGGGTTTCTTCTTCGGAGGGCTGTTGTGGTCAGCCCGTTCCGTCCCGGCGCGGTTCGCCGCAGCCCTCGCTGAGGGGGAGCCGGGCGCCCTCCCCTCAGTTTGCGGCGGTCGGTGTCCGTCGGGGACCGCGCGCTCCCTCAGGGAGACCACAGGCCGCGGGCGGGAGGGGAAGCGGCGGGAGCCCCGGGCTCACCTGCGGGAGCGCCCCCCCGCCTGGCTCCTCCCCGGCCCGGCCCGGCCCGGCCCGGGCCCCCTCCCCCGCTGGAGGGGGCGGGCAGTGCGCGCTCGGCTCCGGCGGCGAGCGCGGCTGGCGGAGAGAGCGGCGCGGAGCTGGCGGGGATCCCCCTGCGAGACAGAGGCGACTCGGGACGGGTGAGGAGAACGGCGGCGGGCGGTCTGGGGGCTGAGGGGGGCACTGAGCGGGCACGTCGGCCACTTTTCCCTGCCGCGATGGCTGGGGCCGGGCGGGCACAGGACTGTGGCGCGACCGGACCGGACCGCGGCGGGCACGGGAGCCGTCGCCGTGCGGTGCCGCAGGCGCCGTCGCCCGCGGCTGTGGCGGTGGCTCCTGGCGCCGAGGCGTCCTCAGCTCCGTTAAACACACGCCTTTCCAAAGGCCGAGGGCGCCGGGCCCTCCCGGGCGTGAGGGGAGAGCACGGCCGCTCTCCCGCAGGAGCGGCGGATGACGCGCGGGGAGCTGGCGGAGCGCCGGCCGGGCAGCGCTTCCCTGGGCGCTCCTCGGGGCTGCGCCGGCCAGCGGAGCGGGGCCGCCCCGGGGCGGGCAGCTCAGCGGTCGAGCAGAGAGGGAGAACTGACTCCCGGAGTCCTTCGTTTGCGGCTGTCTGGAGCGAGGGTTTTTCCCCCGAGCGGGCCGGCCGCGGCTGCCCCGGAGCTGCGGTGCCGCGGCTGGAGGTGCTGCTGCCGGCCTTGGGCTCCAGGTGGGCGGGCGGCGCCCGGAGCCCCCGCGGGGCGCCGAGACCGCCTGCTCGCACGCATTCCTCCGGGATTCCTGGCATTCCTGGGCAGAGGGCACTCTTGACTTCTTTATCTCCCTTTTATCCTGCGAATTAGCGTATTTTTTTGCGAAAGGGTGTGTCCGCGTTGTGTGTGTTCTTTTTCATGGGAAAAGTTTAGAATGGCAGTTCTGCCATTTGTTCTTCTTCCAATTAACTTTGCATCTGATATAATTTATATCCTTCCAATTTGATGACAACTTTATGGGAAGATCAGGGCTGCGATAAAGCTTCTGTGGTGAATTTGCATTTGATTTGCAGTTGACAGAACGGTTCTTGCCGAATTTATCTTCCCCTTTTCTTTAGCATGCAGGTATTTATTAAAAACTATTGGAATAGTGGAAACCTCTTGTTGGAAGTTGTTCTGTTTTTCTGAACGTCTACACTGTGTTTATCTTGTGCAGACTCCTAGAAGTGAATCCTGTAGGTGAATGGGGAATCCCCTAAGCATATCCTGACTTCTGGTACTCCCATGGGAACTTGATAGATTCAGCGTCTGACGTCTATGCTGACAACTGTCACATGTCTTGTAGTTATGAATCTCTTTATAGAGCTTGTTTTAACAGACCCTTAAAACTTACATAAAAATATAATTTAAATGGCAAAACCAAGCTACTGTTTACTTTTGAAAGGTGCTTTGTAAGAACTTGTTTGACTAGCAATTATATTTTCTAGAAGTGTCATAGTCATTGAATTGTCTTGGGTTTTTTTTCTCGTGTTAGACCCAGAAGAAATCTGCTTATGCTCACAGTATGTTCTAAGCCAGATGTGGTTACGGATGATTAATGTAAAAGTGTAACAAGTTGCTATAAGTTTTTGTTTGATTGTTTTTTTTTATAATTAGTTTGAACTTGGGTCTTTACATTTGGAAAAAGATAATAAATTGAAATGAAAACTTTCATACGATATTAAGATAATCTTTCACATAAGAGAAGATGGTTGTTTTTAGCAGACAGTTGGTTGTTTAATATTCATGGAGTTTTTTAAAATAATCTGAGATAAACAAAAAATGCAGTGCTTCAAATGAGCTATCTTACAAAGCGACTGATATTTTTACATGCATCTGTTTACAACTTAGAGGTGTTTCTGAAATGTGTTAATCATAGGAAAAGTATTCCTAGTTGATTTACATACACCTTGAATTGCAACTGACATTAACTGTTTCTAAATGCCGCCTAAATGCAAATACACACTACAAAGGTAACTAATATTGTGACAGTACTAAAAAGGCCTTATATTACTTGTTATAATTTGTGTTGATACTTCCAAGAACCTGTCTACTCCATGAGTCTATCACACAACTGTTTGGGTTTTTTTAAATTTTATTCTCATTATCTGACTTTTTGCTTTTAAATCTAATGAATCTAGACTGCTTCGGCTGCCTGAATTGCCTCCAAGCAAACCAGCTTATTTTAATTTCTGTTAATTGCATTATTAGATCTCACTGTCATTACTAAAATGTCTGAGAATGCACTTAGGTTCCCCTGGTAGGGTTTTTATGGGAGATACAGAATTTAATTTTCCACAGAAATAGCCTACAGTCTGTCCTGTATAAGGAATTTTACCTCAATGAAAGGATGACAAAGTTGCAGAAAAGAATTGGTGACAGTTCCTTCTTCTGGTGTACATTGTGTAATAGGAAGTTGCTCTTTCTGGGAGTATTGGTGAAACTGGTTTGTCTGGGTTCTGCAGTGTCATCTGAAATGTGCAGGTGAAACAACATGACCTCAAATGTGAGTTTTAAAATATTTTGTCATGGAGTGATGCAAGATGAACAAATGTGCTATGTTTATTAATAAATTGCTGAGTTTATTCAGCCTAGATCATGGTGGTCAGGTTGTTATTTAAAAACTGCTACTAAACTATTTTGAGGCCAAATAATTCTGCAAATGCAAAAATTTAAACAAAAGTAGACCATCACAGTTTTATTCTATAGTCTGCTGTTTTACCGTTTCTGCTTTTTGAAGTCATAGTGATGATGATGTCATTATTATTGGAGCCTTTTTACTGTGGAGGTAACCTGAAATCTGTATATTAATACCAAGTACACAGGCCTGATTGTGCAAAAGAACATTCAGCCCATGGCAGCATCTACCTATGTTGATAGAAAGGAACTGCAAAGAATCTGGTCAAGATGACTGGTAGTAATAGATTTCTGAGAAATGGCAATGAACACTAAAATAATTGGGCATTTTTTTCACTTCTGCACCCTCTCTGCAACTCTGAATGGCATCAGAAATGTTGCAGCTACCTACTGCTCATGTGGTCAGCTAAAGCAGGCTTAAGAAATTTTTGTTTCTTCTCTCTGTCCAACTTCATTTTTTTTAGAGGTGGGAGGAGGTTATCTTCTACCTGATCAGTTCAGTGATACCATTCAGAGGCAGGTTTTGCAAGGAATTACATCCTTACAATATTGAGATTAACAAATGTTTTGAATGGCCAGGGTGAGATAAAGGTGTTAGAATTTCTCTGATTTTGTTGCTAGTTCTCAACAAACTCTGCACAGAGGAAGGTTGTACAGACTTACCAATTACTTTGGTGATTCTGTTTTTAATGCATCTTGAATGATGTGTTGGAAGGATGTACCAAAACATAATAAATAGGTTGTTTTTGCTATTTCTGTTCTTATTTGGCAGAAGAATGGAGAATCCACTCATTCACTCACCAAGTTAATGTATGAGGGAAGGTGATTCACGTGTCCATGGAATGTTTATTCCAGGCATGTTTATCTGGAAACATGAACACATTTCAGAAACTGCTTTGACCTTGACTCTGAATGGTATTAAATCAAAATGGTATTTTTCAGTATAGCCAAGAATGAAAACTTAATCTTAAACCCCAAAAAATTGACATGTTAAGAATGTATGTGCTAAAGATTTAGTGGGTCGGTAGTCATGGAGTTGCCACTGTTTGGGATTAGAGCTCACTGTATTTTTTGTGATCTTGTACCATCTTTGCCAACACAGCTGGCAGCCTTCTTGGAGGAGTTTATCCAAATGTAGGCTTATAACCTTTCATTTTATATAAAGTGAAATAAAGTGGATGACAAGATTCATAACCAGACGTTTTAGGTAGATAGTTTCATTTTTCCAGGATCGCCTCTAAATTTTTAGCCAAATTAAATGGTTTAATTTCTATTGGTCCATCTTTTCTATTTATGAGTTTCATTAACCAGGCTGACAGTATGAGATTTAAAATTAATATTCTGGAATAACTTTTCACATTCTTCTTAATTTTGGTAAAAACAGCAGCAAGGAATAAATGTGATTGGAGGAATGTCTCAGAAAGCACTTAGACTGCAAAAAACCACCAGGGAGCTTGGTAAGACTGGAAGATGCTGCAATGATTACCACGTTGGCCCCTTTCTGTGAGGGTCCCCAGGCATGCAAGGAGTCATGATCATTCAGATACTCTCAGCAGTCTGAGCGTGACCATATTTTGACTCCAGGCACTTGCAGCAGTTCATAATACTTTCGTTTCATGTGCATTGCATGCACCATTTAAAAGTAGCTAAAATGTGGACATGGAAACTAAATACAAAAGGGAAAAAGAGAAAGAAGTGAAAAGGAGATGTATTGTCTAGGCTGCCCATGCTTACATAGCCATACTGAGGTGTGTTTATGTGTTTCTGTGAGTGTATATATAAACACACTTGCAGAAGCCTGGTAATTACCAGCCTTTAGGAATGTTTTAACCCTATTCTGAATTCTGTTGAAAGATACCTCTAAGAACTGTTGGAGTTCATTAGAATGGGAGATGTAGTTCATGTACATAAAGATGTGCAAAAGGGTGTAGTTATTTGCATTCTGCTTCAACATAAGCATAATGCAGAAGTAGGGTAAAATTTAAGCTTTTACATAGAGATGGGGGAGTGTTTCCAGTGAGTAAATCAAGCTCAGTATATTTTGTTGGCCTTGTTTAAATGGTTGGGGTATGCCTTCATACATTTATTTGCACACCATTAGCTGCTATATGCAGGGAGTAAACGTTCAGCAGTAGCAGCCTTTATTTACAAGAACAATTGGCATGTAATGTTACATTATAATTCCACAAACACTTCAAGCTTCATAAAGAAGCAGCCCTACCTCTCTCATTTCCCTGGTAATTATGCTATTCCAGTATGAAGGTGAGAAGTGTGGCAGCTTAGGATAGCTAGTTAAACCTGTGCTTGCAGGGCCCACACCAGGTCACTTTGGCTGCATAGGCTTTGTAAGCCCTTCTTTCTAAGTGATTCAGACCAGCTCACCATGAAGCTCATGTCTCTCAGACAGTGTGATGATATCATCTTGTCTGGTGGGGCCTGGGCTCAGGGCCTGCAGTTCTGACTGCATATTTAAATTTGAAAACGCATGGCTGAGT